AGGAGGCTTGGATGATGAGGGAATTGAGTGGTCAAGAGAGGCCATAGATCTGTGTTGCATGTGAGGTCTGACTTCTCTCATACATCAACAAGTAGATGTCGTCATTCATCATCAAGTAGACTTGTAAAAACTTAGAAATCTCGTTTTTGTGGAAAAATTTAGTAACATTTAATAAACTTCTTACTTTGGATAAAAATGAGGATGTCTTACTCTAAGCAAAATACCTGAAATTAAATGCCCAGATTAGTGAATGAGCTGGCTGAGGATTTTTATAGATAATCAAGTCCTTTCTTCGTAAAATTCTTTGATTGCAGATGGAATTATTCTGTGAGCTTCCATCATAAACCACTTCTTGTTACAGCCTCAAAAAATGACCTATCTGTTGCCATCTTCTCTCTGTGTTTTTATATTTCAGATACTGTACTAATGGAATAACTAACCTATTTTATTTTTATTTTTTATTTACTTTGTTGTTTGTTTATTGTAAAAACCAGGCTAAACCATGGCCAGTTTGAAATTTTTTAATATAATCATCTATTTTTATGTTGTTGAGAGTAGCTTGGGTAGGGCAAAGAATGACCACAATAATTTTCATTCAAGTACACAATTTTAATTAATAATTGTAAAGAGATGCCATAAATTCAGTATTTTAGCTGCAAAAGCAAATACAGTTTTCCATTTTTAAGGAGGTAAGATACTGTACAAAAAGATTAGACCATTTACATTTTCCTATTTCATCTTTTTATGAAAAGCAGGGAAAGCAAATTGCAAATATTTAAAATGTTAAAGTAATGGAAGTATAAATGATGAACAACTTACTTGGAATGCATGCAAAAAGAAGCCATGGTTTGCTGTGGGACTGTGAAAGAAGAACTGAATAATTCATCAGGATAGAATAAATAAGAATATTTCAATGCAGCAGTTGCAGGTTTGTTTACTGATCCGCCTGCTATAAGTTCTTAAAATGCTCATTGGATAGCGCAAGCTAGAAAGTTTAATATACCTAAACCACTGAAAATGCGTTATTTCTGGATTTGGGACTTCATTGCCCATCAGGGCAAACAAACAAACAAGCATGAAAACAGATAAAAACCCCAGTACATTACATAATGAAAGATAGAAATTGAAGTTTCTGTAACATCTTAAGACTGGGCTGTTGCAGAATGCCTGTAACTACAACATTCTTGCAATTATTAAATGGTATGTCAAATGTCAGTAAAACTAACCTACTGTTATGGCCACTCCAACTTTGTATTGTTCTGTCCTTCGCACTCAGAAACACAGAGCAGAGACGGTTTTGCACAAGTGTCTGTAAACTGCATGGTGTAATCAAGTCTCAAATAATTAGGCCAATTAGAATCAGCACATTGAATACCTCCCTGAAACATCATGGTCCACAATCAAAAAATGGCCAACATTAGTAAATTAAAATTAATTTTGAGTAAGTAGCCTGAAGGAGAGAGCTAGTTCCCTTCTAGCTGAGACCTTTGTCTCCAGAAACCACGAGAAACAAGATTGAGCAAATCAGTCTGGATCACTGGTTGTGCAATCACCTCCACAAGACCTTGCATTTCTTCCCCCTTCATCATGACAAATTATTCCTCCAGTATCCATCTGATAGCTCTGCTCAGAGCTTTTGGGCATCCTCAGGGCAGCTCTCCAGAATGGGACTTCAGTCTTCAAGCGGAAGGCTTTCTGAGGAGGCTGCAGAAGCTCTCCAGTCTCATGTGTTGGCTTCGTCTGGCTCCTTTCTATATGCGTTCTTCATCAATAAAGTTGTACAATGCCCATTCCTCTTAAGAAGTCATTACTTTGGAGCCATATCCCCTTCACAGGAATCAGCAGTACCTGTGAAAGTAATGCGTTTCATTACATATGTGAGGTAGACTTACAGTCATCCATTGCTATGCCTGTAGCCCAGTAGACAAAGAATTGTCCCATACCCATTTTACTACTCCTGGAGAGTCGTGTGCTGATTTCTGAGGTTCAACAAGGAATGAAGCTGGGTTCCTCTGGTATCAGTGCTGAGTCAGATTCAAATACAGGAAAAAAAAATTTTTTTAAAAACACACTGTTGAGACAAGTATGAAAATGTTATCTTTAGATATATTTCTTATCAAGCCTTGTAAGGCAGTTTAATTTAGGAGTTTAAATGGCTAACATAAATCTTAATAGATATAATTTTAATCCTTTTCTCCCCCTGTTTCAGAACAATCATTATTTCCTTCTCTCTTTATTTTTTAAACTGTTAAGTGTATTTCACCTTTTTTTTAAAAAGTGATTTTCCAAGTGTGGGAAATGGCATGAACTCAGCGGGGGCAGATCCCTACATCCCTGTAGGAGCACTGTCCCTACACCTCTATAGGAGCACTGCATCCTGAGAAGTCGTTCCCTCCTGGTCTTTCAGGCATCCTTCCATAACCTGTGGGCCCTGGCAGAGGCCGCAGTAGAGGAGAACATCTAAGATCCATTGAGTGCATTAAGGCCCTCCGACATGCATTACTGCCTGGTATAGTTTAGTTTAAATTATGTGAGTAGGAGTGAGGGAACCTGGGGTGGGAGGCTTCTGAAAACCGGTTGTGTATCAGAGGAGGTGCTGCTTAGCTCTTTTTCTGACATCTCGCAACTTAGCAGTATTTCGCCTATCTGACTTCATCCTATTGAGATGTGTTTGCCTGGAGATTTATTATAGTCTGTTAAAAGGCTTATTCTGTAGCATCAGGTCCGTTGGACATATTACAGTGCATATTACATGGCCGGCAAAGATGGACACAGCTAAGGTAGCATGGGGGCAATCAGGAATTAGTATGCAAGGAGGGATGATATTGTAATAAGGTTCATCATTATTAGTGCCCCTTTAATGGGCTATTCCTTCTTAGTCAGAGACTGCAGAGCAGGCTATTTTGGACATTTTAAGATGCTCAGGCTTTTAACATCATTGATTTTCTTCATCAGTGATGCTACTGTTGTCATTCTTCATCTAGAAAACCTGTACATATGGAAGTAAGATCCAACATACTTTCCTCAAACTGTGACTGTACCTATTCATGATTTTACTTGCTGTGGTTACCTGATGCTCAGTTTAAACAGGTCATTTTTTTGCTTTACAAAAAAGCCAAAAACTTTCTCTTCTGTTTTCCTTTGGAAATGTAGATAATCTGAAAGTAATTAGTGGGCATTCATAGAAGGCATGCAAAAGAAAGGGAAGGGTAACAGAATTCTTTTGTTCTGCAGGAGTTACTTCTGTGCATTCATATGCCTTGCTTATTTCCCCCTCTGTCTGGGAGGCCAAGAGACTGCAACAGACACAGAATTACCTGAGACCTTCCAGGGAGTTGCATGATTTTGCGTGCATCTAAGCAGCATCATACTCCAGTCTTAATAAATTCAGGCAGTGCTGAGAGAATGGCAGTGGCTAGCAGAGAACCCTCTTTACTTGCTATAGCTTTATGGGCTGGTTTGGTTAGTTTGTGGTAGCCTCTCACGAGCAGGTATCATGATTCAGAAGTGTTTGCTGCGTCCAACTCACCTGACCGGCTTTTTCTGTCAATTGCAATTATGTAGTACTTTAACACTGATAGTGGAGGCCAGTTCCTTGCATAAGTAAGACCCTTCAGTACAGAGTTTTCTAGTGAATCCAAGTCTTGTGTTCAGTTCTGAAGCCAGCACTTTCTGCAGTCTTTGTATTTTAATTATACGCTCTAGACTTCTGTTTGGAAAGAACGTACAGCTTAGATGCTACATATGCTACTGCTAGTTGTTCAGAAATTTGATTCTAAAGCACAGCTTAAGCCATTGAAAAACCTGTGGTAATTAATTGAATATTTCCTTTCTGCTTGGTTTAAAAAGGTCAGCCCTTCTTTGTGCCAGTTTTCAAATCTTTCCAGCATTATTCTTTAATTTCCTAGATAGTGTGCCAAACACCTGGAAATACAATTTCCAGATCTGCATCTTCTGGATATCAAGTGTGAGTGTACAATAGAGTGATAAGTTAATAAACATAAGCCATTCATATTCTGTAGGGCAGATATTGGCAGGTCATTAGTAAGCTGCAAGTGGCTCTCGATGCATTGTGTGTGCATGAGTACTTTCACAGGAGATTGTAAGCCTTTATAGGTGATTCAGCTTATGCCCTACAGAAACATATTGCAGGAAGGAAGACTGCTAGAAATTAAAAGTAATTGAGGTTCTAATACATGACAACAATAACAGTTTGGCTTTCCTTTTTGTGATGATCTCCTGCTTGTAAATTGCCAGAAGAAATATTCTTTACTTGCTTATTCCAACTGAAGGATTTGCAAAGATAACTAATTTCATCCTCTGGTTCACTCCTTAGAAATCCCCTTTTTCTTTTCCCTTCCATAAACATAACCTGAATTCTTCTAATTTGTCTTGGTGGTTATTTTGGGGGTTGGTAAAATCATAAGCATTACCAGCAGAATTGTTAGCATTACTTCTTATACTGTTTGTAACAGAATCCTGTTTTGAAGCTTGATGTAGTTCTGAAAGAATATTACAGTCTGCTGCAATTATCTTTAAAGTGCTTGGAAATTGCTGATAAAATGCATAAATTACTTTCTTTATGCTATTTGTATATCCTTGTGCATGTGTAAGGATGTTTATACACATAATACTTGAAAAAGTGTACAAGTTACGTTCACATTTGTATATATATAGACACACTCAGATGCAAAATTTTAAAAAAATCTAGTCAAGTTTTATCTAATGGACGCATATTTGTATATCCGTGCAATCTCTAGTATTCTTCCCCTTGACCAGAATTTATTATTTTAACAAATTATACTTGTATAAACAAAGACTAAAGACTATACAATTTTAATTTACCTTCAGATGAAACAATGACGTTATGACATATCCACAGAATTAATTTTTGCATTTTGGTCAGGTTTTGGGGTTTTTTTTTTGGTTTGGGGTTTTTTGGGGGGGTTTGATGCCTACCATGCAATGACAAAGGTTTATTCTCCCTTTGTTCTTTTCAGAGTGCTGCAGCAGCTCCCAGCCCAGTGCTAGGAAACATTCCCCCAGGAGATGGCATGCCAGTAGGTCCTGTACCACCGGGGTTTTTTCAGGTATTCAGAAAAATTGTGATTACAGGAATGTTAGGATAGAAAATCCTCCATAATACTGTTTACAAGTCTGTAGAAAAGGTCCTGTTCTAAAGTATGTCTCACTATATGGTGCAATACTTTGAGAGTTTATTTTTTAACAAAAGTGAATAGGTGTAAAGGAAGGGATCTCTCTGACTGACAAGTATTTCAGTTATGAAGTAGTACAGCACAACTGATTTCCAAATTTCAAGCATGCAAAATGGTACCAGTTTATGAGTGGAGACTGAAAATGCCTCAATAGAATTTTAAAAGAATTCTTATGATAATACACATTCATTGCATTAAAACTTTAAAGAAAGAACATAGTTGGTTGTGTTTAGCTCTGTGGTAAAGCCACAGGCCAGGTTTTTAAGATGTTCAAATTTCAGTGGGAACTAGAACCAGGCAATTAAGAATATCCCACTGAGCATCTCCTTGCACATTGAAGATTGCAACTTCAATGCCTAAGAAAACAAGCCAAGGATTTAGGCCGTGTGTTGCTTCTATTAAGTTTTGACATAAATTAAACTAAATACCCAGCTGGCACTTCGGACATTAACAGTACAGAATACTGTGATGGAAAAAATGGCAGCTTTTAGTGCAAGGCCAACCTAACTGTTGCAATCTGAGATTGGACTGCTCCTATGAGCGAGCTTGCATCTCTTCTTCACCAAAGCTTGGTTGTTCTTCTCCACCCGGGCAAACTGTGGCTGTGCAGCTGGAGCAAAAAGTAGCAGCATCTCTAGCATGAACAGTTCTTTAGGAAGATCAGAGATTTCCACTTCACATACTTGATCTCATGATGTGAAAGAAACAACCCAGATTTCCAGGCTTGTGATGTGGGGAGAAGATTGTGATAGGATGTTCTGTAAAAACCAGGTGCTGAAATCCAGGTAGGGACCAGTGTCTTTTTCCTTCTTGCCTGTGATACAGAGACAAAAGAAGCATACTTCATCTGGGAAAAAAAAAAAGAAGAAATTTTTTTTTTTTTATTTTTTTACCCAAATGATGATTGTACAAAAATGGCAGGATATCAGCAGTCTTTATTTATACTGTATGTAAGTGACAACATTATTTGCATGGTCTTCCTTTTCCCACAGTCACAGAGGGAAAATCTGCTATCTGCAGTATTGATACCTGCATGAAGAAACCCTGAACCTGGCATAAGCATGTTGTTTCTGTCATCAACTCAAAAACTGAGGCATGATGTTTAATACATGAATGAAAAGTTAATTGCAAGTGAAGTAGAAAATATCTTACTGTTGCCAGTCACAAAGTCCTCAGGAGTTGGCAGAACTGATTAATTATTTTATTTCTGCTTTTACTGTTTTGAACAGCTGGTTAGATAGATTTTTTAAAATATGGTTTTAATTTTATATTGTTTAAATATTTCACTTTTTCTTCTTTTAGCCACCCACTCCAGTCGTAATGTCAAAGGAATTAAAGTTTAAATTTTTTTCTTTTCTTGTCTTTGAGGACAATTAAGAGGGGGAAGGGGCAAAGATAGGATAAGTATGTGAAGTATAGAGGAGAGAGTAACTATTTTAAAGGTTTTGCAGGAGGAGGGTGTGGGAGTTTTGTGTTTAGAAGCGTGAAAAGACTTCTAGCCTCTCTAGATCTTTAAAGATGTAAGAAAGACAAGATGATAGAAAGTTAAGTATGGGTAAACTTCCCTTGTCTGTCAGTATCTGACTTCAGTCTTACTTGAAGCCCCACCAACAGCCTGCTCTTTTTGCAAGGCCTGGAATTGAAAATAAACAGAGGAAAATCCATTCTCAGTGTAACACAGTTTGTGACATTAATCAGAGCTATCATCAGCTCAACAGCATGGCCAGTGAGTCTTCTGCAGGGCAGGTTCCAAGAGCTGGTCTGCAGTCTGGTCTGGACTCCTCCAGACATCACCCTTCACCTCTCCTTGAAACTGCTGGGTCTGTGCCATCGTGTCTCTCTGTAACATGCAATACTCAAGATTAGTCCCTTACAGTTTCAGCTGATAGAGATCTACTTCCCTCAGCTGAATGGCCTTGTCAACAGAACAAACATTTTTCAAGAGATCATTAGTTTTTGCTGTAGCCATCTGCTTAAGAATATACATAGTGAAATAACATGCTAGTTAGCAAGTCCAGCTGCAAGTTTGATAGCAGATACATTGATAAGGTCGAGAGCAATCCCAGCAAGGGCAGCTAAGCCAAAATCCAGTCAGTTACATAACAGCGTGCTGAAGCTGTAAGGTGTGTATAAAGCAAATATGTACAGACAGTCCATGACAACGTGTTGTGGTGTTGGAGTGAGTGTTGTCAAGAGGCAGTTAATATCTGGTTGTAACACTTTCAGATGGAGCTGATTCTTACCAATGTCAATTTATCTGAGGACAAGTAAATATATTGGCAGAAGTAACCATGTATGTGAACCTTGAAAAGTGAGGAGCATCATCTGCTGTCCTGAAAAGCAGGTGAAATGACAAGCAAGCAAGAAACTCATGATCAAAACTTCCTACGTTCTTCATAGGTGCTTTCTTTCTAGTACATCTTTAACTAGACAATCAGTTTCTGTATACTCTTCTGCAATTCCTCTGATCCCAGTGATCACAAGAATAAACTAAATCACAGAAGACATGTTCATCTGTCTTGATCTGAATACTGACAAACTTCAGCCTTTCTATGAACTACCAGCCTTCATTCACTGAGAGTTTGGAAATTAGACCTGCAACTCACTCTTGGATTATGAAAGGAGCAATTTTGGTTTTAAGAGTCAGAAGGTTATAGAAACAGTGGGAGATTGGTGCTTATATCTGTAGTTCATCAAGGCTTAGCACATTCTAACATTTCAACTTTTTGCAATCTAAAATTTATCTAGAAGGAATGATAAGTATCCTTTTTGTTGCTTTCATGAAATCTTGGATTGGCCTAAGCCAAAGCCGTTGACAGCCACTACCTTCCAGCTCTGCTTGGCTAACTCAGAATTGCTAGGTGATTGAAAGTCATTTCATTCCTCATCAGTACTGGCTCTTGGTTTTACAGAGCAATTCTCTTACGGCGTGCGGTGCTAACCGCTAACTGGGACATAAGCAAAATGGATTCTCTTGCTGCTACAATTGCTTCTTACTGGACAGGTCAGGGGAAGGTGGCGACCTAGGTGGGCACTGTGCTGGGAACCAAGAAAGATTAGCTGAGTTCCGGTTTTATTGTCACTGCTGACCACTATCATTATTTCTGTGACCTTTATCTTTTAGAAAAGAAAATAAATTTATCTTTCATAAAAGAAAACAATACAGTACACTAATATAGCACATGGAGGTAGGTAAATATAGGAGAAGCATGTTTCTCAGATAGTAGTTGGTACAACTCTGCTCTTCGCAATATGAGGTTTTCACTCATATGTAGGCCACTAGCCCTGATGTTAATTAGCAGTCACTGGCATTTTACGCCTGGTCCACTGAGGTGGAGTTCTGCATTCAGCAGCTGAATTTGTCTTGTATCTCTCTGTACTTGTATTTTTATACTTCAGTTCAGGTGATGGGTGATGATCACTACAGTGCTGACAGTCCAAAATGCAACACCTTGCAATGTTACAGTGAAAGGAAGGTGGTAGAGTTGTGCACACTATTATCATCAACTAAATGGCTTTTTTTAAAAGACATTTGTTTACTGAGTCAAAAATGAAATTTGAAGTCAAGAAAACAGGTTTATGTTAGGGAGTTAGGGTGTGTTTCAATTTCATCTGTTGTTGTGTAATTTTAAATTTAATAGCTACATTTTTTTTTGTCCTCATCATCTTTCAGTACATAGAGTAAGTGATACTCTGGAAATAAATTTGGGTTATACAGTAACTGAATCTGCTCTTGGTTCATTAGCAGCAAAACTGAATGTATGGGATGACAGGAGGAGTGAAGACAATAGTTCTCTCATATAAGACAAACTCCAAATAGGAGGACCCAAACAAGCTTTAGAGTGGATTTTGTCTGATGCTGAAATTATGGGTTAAGTGCCGTTCAGTGAGGGTGATGTCTGGTGGTTCAGTGCTTCTTGGTAAGTTGCCTTCTTAAATAGGGAGCTCAGAGAAGGATAATGGTTGGGAATCAGCCTGGATGCTAAAAAACGGTGCCCAGTTCATCCCTAAGTTACCCACATTCTTCCTGGGTAACGCAAGATAAGTAATTTCAATTCTCTTTCTTCGTGTTTCTCCACCTATTAAAATGGAATGTCGTAAGTGACGATCCTTTTAAAAGATTATGAATTACTTGGGCAACAGAAATCATAAAACTATACTAGATTGCATGAGGGTAAGATGGATCTATACATTTCTGAAATGCTCATCTAACTCCAGTCTGAGTCTTGAAATACATCATCAGTTTGACAGTTTTCCTCTCTAGACCACATCCTGTACATGGAGCTAACGTGTGAGGAAGGCACCTAGCTACTATGTTAATAAAGTAATTTAGGACTTTTTCTGTGCCATTTTTTAGCATCAGAGTTACTCTTGTTGTTAGTTTCTTTGTATGGCCATCCACAGAGATCAACGTGACGTAGTCCCTCTTTTTGGAGCCCTGTCTGATACTGAAATAGTAGGACAATGGGAGGACTGAATAAGATTGTAATAATGATCTACCTTCAGGTCAAGGCGTTAGAGGATGCGTATACTATCAGCAGCCAAGCTTTAAAGATGTTCTTAGAAACTCATTTGTAGTGAGTTAAATTCATCCACTTGTGATCAAAGAGGATTAGGTCATAGAATTCGAAGACTCTCAGATTTTTCATTTCTAATCTTACTTCCAGTTTCTGGCCTGAGGACAACCAGCATTTTTCACCAGGTTCTGTGCAGTACAGAACTGTTAACTTGAGAAAGCCCTCAGATACAGGCAGACCAAGGTCTTCAAAGTGTTCAGTACTAGCCTCACTCCCTTCTTCTTGAGGACAATGAGACCAGAAAAAAAATGTGTGTTATACTTGCACATCATGGTACAGCATGCATTTAGAAAAGAA